AGGTGATATAAGAGAAGTTGATGGTGGTTACAATATTTCCTTTGTATATTTTTGCAAAATCAATGCTTGATCACTATAAATGACATTGCCGAATTTACATGTTTTTAAGCGTTGGTACAAGTGTACTGAAAAGCCCGTTATAGATTATTCCAAATTTGTTATCGGCTATTTTTTCGGTGAGATTTAAGAACGCTTTTTTACTTTTTTATATTCAGATTTAGTGAAACTTAACAGCTTAACGGCTAGTAACATAAGTAAATATTATTACAACTTAAAAATATTTAAGTTTTTTGGAAGTCTTCAATAAAACACTTTTTAGGTTATACGCCGACGTTTCGGCAGTTAACTATGGCATCCTTATGGCCCTTGCCAACTATGCAATAAATGTTGACAAGCTTCGTAGCCAAACTGTCTTTGAACGTTTCGAAAAACATCCATGCATCATCGGGTCAAGTCTTCTCCAAGAAATTCGCATTTAGCGTGATGTGTTTAAAGTAATTCATTTTCTAAAACAGCTGAGCCGAACGTTTCTTGACCCCTTCAACTATCCTATATTTATAAAAAAAATCATATTCGGTTGGAAATCACCACGCTTAATCAAATTTTGTTGTACTTTTCTATTCGATGTTTAATTATTTACTGTCTTATGACGTCATTGTAGAAAGATAAGGATCTGAAGTTAACGTCCAAAAATCCGTCAAATAGCCAATTACTCGCTGCGTCCACTGCTTGGTTGTTTTTTCTTTTTTTCTCGACCTTTTTTTTTCGACCCGTGCGCACCGACACGGCAAGACAGGCAGTTAAAACGGATAATGTATGCGCAGTTTGTCCAATATAAAACATCCCACACACGTATTTACATGATCACAGTCAAGGGTCTGCGTTATTCCGAGTAATAGGTTTATGTTTATCTTTCGTAATTCCTTTTTTTTTGTCGTCCTTTTTGGCTTTCAGATGGATAATTTAGTTTATTTCAGATAATGTGCAAACGTCGAGGTGTTGACCTATTTTTTTTTTAGTAAGATAATATCAAATAAAGATTTAACACAAATTGATAATAATAATTATAATTATGGTAATTAGCGCTCTTGCAAACTCTATACTGAAATTGCCTACAAAAACTTGTTCAGATACATAAACAAAAATATCCAAAAGCTACCACCAGTTTTTCCCGAAACAGGGAACATAGGTGTGTTTTTTATCCTGTTCTATAAAAAAATCGCAATATTAAAATAGTTCTCGTCAACCTGTCATGGAAGGCTGATCGTTAGGTATTAAAAGTAAAAGTTGGAAGCGCTAAAAGGTATTTAGGGTCATTTTTTTTATAGTTACCGATGGGCAAATAGGTAAAACCGAGTCCTACCTACATTTAATACCAACTTTATTGTCTGATGGTACCATTTACTTGCCAACTGTTTGCAACTTATGCAGCAAGGTTGATAAGCGTGTTTATAAGGAAATACAATTATTCCTATAACACTAGTCCCTGAAGATATTGCTTCTTTTATTCTAACAGAAACACTCGCTAATAATAATAAAAAATGAACAAACAGGTTCTTGAAACGTTTATCTGAAAACTGATAAGAGGGGAAAAGAGGAAAAAAACTTTATTCAGGAAGGAGAAATGATTTAAGTCCCAGAATTGACATCCGGAATCCACATTTTAAATATAGTAACTTCTAAATCGGTTGTACCACACTCAAGTCGCAAAGGAACACAAGAAAACATTTGAAGAAGTTACATGGGCTTTTTCAAAAATACAAAAAAGCGTAAACCCCAGATATGTGTATCTAGAAAAACAGCTGACAATGGTACCGTTAAAAACCTATATTAATACTCTCCAAGAGATGAATTTAGATTTAAATGACATGCTAACTTGTGCGCTGTTGGATCTTGGTTACCGAAGATTCTGCCATTTTCCTAAAAAACGAAACAGAGTATCTCCCAAATATGTATGATTAACTACTTCACCAGAATTGTTATTTGAACCGCCCTAAAACACATCATTTTGGTTTTTCGGAAATTAACTACTAATGTTTTTTTTTTCAAGAGTTTTTACCTTGCATCTTGCAGAGGAGGATAAGAAGTTCATAAGTGGCATCGATTGAGATTGCTTAAAGGACACCAGAATGTCGAGATTTTAGACTATATGAGCGCAGCGCTATAAACGATTTGTACATAAACATTTTCTAAAACCATTAGTTTTTGGGTTTTTGCGATGGCTCCAGAAGCCGTGACTAAAGCACCGGAAACGCTCGAAATGACTCGACAGGTGTTTAGCGCCTGACTTTGCGCGGCAGTAGAAACAAAAGAGGATTTGTGTCGCGATGCGATCGCCGGAGAACATATCTTTCGGAAATAGAACCGAATTAAAAACAAAGGAAAAAAGCGTTCCGTAATACGGAACGTAATTACAGAGTTTAAATCTCGAAATTCCGTGTGCGGTAAAATATTGCTCTTTATATCGTCTACGGCCACAAATCATACGAACTACCAATAGCCTGAAATTAACTGTTCAAATGATCGTGGAATCGCAACATTATAATCTACTTAGATAACTGTACATTATGTGGCTCGGTTGCGAATGCGATAAATTAAACCGGCGACATGGAAACCAAAGATCGAACTTTTTTAAGGCGGTTCAATTCGGTTCCGGTTAAAGTGCGGTTATTATTAACCCGGAGATTGACGCGAATCCAATATGAATGTATCAAGTTTAAAATATAAAGCAAAACAATCTATGGTAAAATCAATATTAACTTCTTTTTAAAAAATCAACTATTTCTGTTTAGTTTTGTAAATAGGCTTATATGAACGAACTTACATTTAGTTTTAAAACCGCAGAGATATATTTCGTTTGAAGACTAAAAAAAGTTTCAATTTTTTCCCACCACATTTACGAAAATTTTACTGAATGTATTTCTTATACATATCTTATAGGTCCTTGTCGGTTAGTAATTTAAATTTTGTCTCGTCTCTCTGATTATAATTTGTTTACTAAAGAATATTAGGAGTTTTCGAGGTTGGTCGACGTTTCGGTCATTTCGACGTTCATCAGGTCATTCGGTATTCTCAACTATTGAACTGCTGCTGGAGTTCAAGTTTTCCTTTCTTGATTATTATTGCGCACTTATCCTATCCAACATCTTAATATCGTCGCTGAATGCTTTCACGGTAGCAATGAGAGTGTTCAGTTATTATTATTATTATTATTATTAATATTAAATTATATAAAAAAATAAATGTTTCTACTTTTGTCGCCCGTTCGAATTCGACGCAGTCCTTAATTAACGTCGAATTTATCATTATCCGGCCCTCAAGGTATTACACTGCTTACCGAAAAAAAAGGAGCTTCGAACGGCCGCGTCTCCCTTTTTTCGAGCTCGCGATTAAAAAGGCTTTATAATTACATTTCAAAACGGACCGGAAAACAAAGATAATTGTATTCCGCTATGGAAGCTTAATTTATTAATAAAAGAAGACGGAAACGACTCAAAGAGATTTTCGTTTGTTCGCTGTCCAGCGGCGGCGGGAATTTTTGTCCGTTTTATTATACCGACTCTTAATTGGAGATCGGAAACTGGTTTGTCTGTTACTGTTAAAATCATCTTTTTATTTTATTTAAAATTAATACTCATTGAGGTGAAGATAAATGAAATGGTTATGGTTCTCGTTTTGTTACTCTTTCAGTGGCTATCGAATTTGGTTTCTGGCAAATTTTTATTCCGTTCTTTGACAAACATAATCTTTGTAAAGAAGATCACCAGAAAATTATTCAATATTTATTTGGCCCTGGGTATAGCAGGAAATTGTATATAAATTCCTTTTCCGGTCATCACTAATCATCATAAATGTCTTTTCAATAGTCCAATGAACAATACGAGTTCAAACTTCTTTTCTTCTTCTTCGTTTGGTCCAAAGAAATGGTCGTACGCCCCTGCGTCGACCAAGTAACAAACTGCGGTCTATGCAGCGAAATTCACCAACGAAGGAGAATTAAAATCATTTGCCGTTTTTGACGAAGATTCCCCAGACCGCGTTTATATCGCACAAAGGAACCCTATCGCGTGGAGACGAGACATTTTCGAGTCGTTTAAAGTTATCGAGTCGTGAAGTCGGCAATAGAACGAGACGCCAATTTTTCCATAAATAAATATGACTACGGGATCCGCAACGATCGATTCGCTTTGTCTTGGCAATGGGGAAACCGCATGTTCGCCCGAGGAAGGGAACCCCCTCGAGGATCCGGTGTACGTAGGATTGTGCGGTCACGTAAAGCGTGTGCGAGAGTATCGAAATGTGTCGTCATCCCCGCGACAACGCCGTTGCCGTCAGCGAAACTCATCCCCGGACTTCCCGGACTAAGTTTAAACTTAATCTCCAAGTTCACCTCAGCTACGCCGCACACCTTACCCTTGACTCGCCAAAGACGAGCCTTATTAACCCCGGGGGGTGGCAGGAGGAGTACAAAACGCCAACTCGATCGCGAACAGAAGCCAACATGGCGCCGTTACACTGGGTGTTATCTAAATTTAATCGTATAAGGAGAGCGATTGCTCTATACCTGTCACTTTAATGAGATAATAAGCGAGTGCGACAAAATGAGAATATCCATTCTTAGGAGAACCTAGTTTCAAGAACTATAAATTAAATCAAATTCATTTAGATAAACGGAAGCTCTGGAAGTATTATTATACAATGGGCGGCGACATCCTACTATGCTACTCTTATAAGGGGTGTTTTTTTTCTATAGAGCTTTAAGTCGCAATAAAACCACGATGGATTATTCGATTGACATGAATTTTATTTATCCGAAAGATAATCTTGTGGCATTACATTTTAAATGTAATTTCTGGCATACGACCGCCACGGTTGGCTTGCACACACTGGACAAAATTATGAGAAAAGCGAGTGCAAGTGAAAAGAGCAGTGAATTTTTTGTAGTTCTTGTTGTGAGCCGAATTAAGCAGATAAAACTAACATTGCGTTTTTATTTTCAGTTGTCCTCCTCGATACCACTGGCGAACAAAAGCTCGAATGGACTAGATTTCCATACGGACCGCAGTCCAGCACGCCTGGGGTAAGCAATCCAATGTATTTAGTATTTTTTAACTTATGTTTTCTTTTCTTCAGCATTACTTAAAAAAAATTAATAAAAATAACGTGTTTACATGTTGTATGTATCTAATGAATAAATTTTATTTTGCTGCATGTTATAGGTCTCTACATAGCAACGGGATTAATTTTATATTCGAATAACAGAAAAAATTGTGTTTGAAATAGTCGCTTGCTCTTACGCGTTCCGTAAGCTATTACAAAATAAAATCCAACTTAGGAACGAGCCTGTATATAGCGTTACAGTGCCGTCCGAAAACATCCGAGTACATTTTACAGACGGAAGTAGATAAATGAATTTATTTCATGACTGCCATTGATCGCGGCAAATTTGAAAAAGTTTTTTTTTTAATATTCGAAGAGTAAAATGTATGAATGGTGTATAATTTTGTAGAAAATGGATTCACACATACATATCTATTTTTTTTTTAATTTTTAGCTTTTGATGACCAATCACAGAGGCTAGTTTGGCATCCGTGAACCAAACGGAAATCGATAGTATTTTTCAAAACAAAAAAAAACCTTTTTGTAATCCAATGTCCGGAAACGGTTACTTGCCTTGAAAAAGTTCATTTAATTTTCGGTATCCTATGCCCATGAATTTCACTGATGAATACTAATAGGTCTGAAGATACATTAAAATTGGTTTTATGAAGTATAAACATTTCATTGCCAGAACTTTTTTCCTGGTTTGAAGGAAAAATGTGATTTCTTGGTAGAGCAATGCAGATGCAATACGTTTGAACGTCATAAAACAAAATTTAATGCAAAATAATTGCTGGCGGATATAACTTTTGCTGCAATTCGGTGTTTAATGGCGTAGGAAAAGGTATCGGGAAATGGATATCTCGTTTCCGCGAACACGCAAAGCCACTGGCGTACATAGCGTGTTTCTAGAACTATTGGGTTGTTCGGAAAGTCATTTCGTTTTTTTTCGGGAACATGAAAGACAGTTTTCGTATAATGAATAAATATTTTATTAAATTATATATTGGCCATTCTCGTCCAACACCTTTTGCCATCTTTCTGGCAGTAACATAATTCCCCTCTCACAAAAGTTTTGGTCCTTGCTGGCAAAAAACTGGTTCAAGTGGTTTTTGACATCTTCATTTGAGGTAATTTTGCAGGGACCGGAACAAATAGTAGTCAGAAGGCGCCAGATCTGGAGAATATGGTGGATGTTGCAGTACGTCCCATTCAAGCTGTAAAAGTTTTTGGCGAGTGACCAAACTTGTGTGAGGTCTCGTATTATCCTGGTGGAACAGTACACCCTTCCTATTGATTAATTCGGGCCTCTTCTCTTTAAGTGAATCATTCAATTTGTCCAGTTGATGACAATAGACTTCTGAATTAATCGTTGTATTGTCCGGCAAAAGCTCAAAAAAAAACGATTCCTTTGACATCCCACCAAACGGAGAGCATCACCTTTTTTTGGTGAATGTTGGCTATTGACACGCTTTGAGCCGGTTCATCTTTTCCGCTCCATGACCTCTTGCGTTTAACATTGTTGTATATAACCCATTTTTCGTCCCCAGTAATAATCCGCTTCAAAAATGGATCATTTTCTTGACGTTTGAGGAGCGAATCACACACGTCAACGCGACGACACAAATTTCGCTCCGTAAGGACATGGGGCACCCACACATCGAGCTTCGAGGTCGAGCCCATGCCTTTCAAATGGCCATAAACAGTCGAATTCGACAAATTTAATCTCTCACCGATCTCCCGTGTGGTTATTCGCCGATTTGCATCAACTAACGCCTTTATCGCATCTTTGTCAGCTTCGACCGGCCTTCCAGACCGTGGTGCATCTTCGACATCAGAATTGCCGGATCGAAATTTTGCAAACCAGTTCTGGCACTGGCGTACTGTTAACACGCCTTCTCCATACACATCCGTCAATTTTTTTCTCGCTTGGACGGCATTTTTACCTTTTCTGAAGTTAAAAAAGTAAAATATGACGAAAATGCTGCTTATTGCTCTCCATATTTAAAAGGGCACCAACCAAAAACCACTGCGTAGAATTAATAGAACTTTTTCACACACAAGCCTTGCAATATCAGCTCTCAAGACATAAAAATGCAAAACTAAGTGCAATAGCATTTTTTTTTCTCCAAAAATGAGGTGAAATGATAATTAAATAGCCTAAAAAGTCACTATTGCACAGTTTATAATGGCTTATAAAGTCTTCCTTTGGTCCCACGTTAGTAATACAATTTTTAAAAGTTTACTTTGCATTACTTTCTTCTTCTGTTTTGTTCCTAGAAATTTATTCATTATGCAAATATTTTAAGGAGATTTTTCGTGCATGCGTGCCGACTAATCTATTTGAAAGTGGTTTTCGCACATTCCATCAAACACAAATTAAGCCTGCGCATGCATCTTCGTCGCTTTCGTTGCTTCTTTTTCCTCGAACGATTCGATACGTAAAATCGCTCGGTAATTGTACGAATGCCTCGTCATTCCGCATTAAGAAATATTAATTTGCGCGTTTTGCGCAATAGATGCTTAATTTTGCATTTTTCTTTTCTTTAGCGCGTGATTATTAATTTTTTGCCAATACCTTTTGTAACTCGGATGCGTCCTTCCATAATAGTTTACGCAACCGAACATCTCGCAGTTATGTGCAATGTGCAAAGTAAAATGTCATTTTCTTGCGAGATCGTGGTTGCGACCACAGATTCCATGAAATTCCATTCTGAAGCTTAAATTTCGTTTCTCCATCAGTTTTAGGGGTAGTTTCGGAGAGCCAGATTGCACTTTTTCGAAATTTCGATAGGGAATTCTTTGAAAATATTTATTTTTTATAGATTCTTCAATATCTGTATAATGCTTTAGCACATTTACTAATGATGGCAGAAACAGAATTGAAGCAGCACAAACAGCGTTCTTCACCAACAGAGACCTAAGTTTGACCCTGCGGTTAAGAATGCTGGTGTTACGTGTTTTCCGTCCTTTTGTATGGTATGGAAGCGTGGACGCTGAATCAGGTGACATCTAATGAGGGGCCCGAGGAAAAAGAAGTGTCGGAAGGCGAAAAATATCCTGGCTGAGAAATCTGAGGAATTGGTTCGGATGTAGCGGCACCGAGCTGTTTAGAGCGGCTGTCAACAGGGTCCGCATTGCCATGATGGTTTCCAACCTTCGACAGAAGGTGGAATTTTAAGAAGAAGAAAGCTCTTCGTGATATATTTATGAATATTCTAGTAATAAACACAACCGATAGAAGACCTAGAATTGGAATGCCATAAATTCCTAAAATTTTCGATGTTCATATTAAAGAACAGAAATGCTTGCATTTTACATTGATTCTTCTTGTTTAGTTTCCTCTTTTTCTTAGGTTTTTTGTTTTTTTAATTGATGTTAGATGATTTTTCCACAAGTATATCCAGGAAGTTGAGGTCTAATAATATATAAAATATATAAAAATGTAACCAATTCTACCGCCATTAAATTGAGGGCTACTTTTCGCCAACACAGTGAGGAAATGAGTGTTGTTCTCACATTCGGTAAAATGTCATTACTATTTTTATGCTGTTCCCTCCTCTTTGTGTTTTTGATCAAACCACTCGATGTTATCTTGACCTAACCTTGAGTAAATGCCCATTAAAGATGGCATTTAATTCCCATCTTTATAGATATTAATTTCCGAATCCGATATAAAAAAGAAATTCTCCCGGACGAGATCATCTTTTAGCATCTAAAGCGAAGTGTATAATATCGCAAAATTAACCTGTAAAAGTTTTTATATCGCCGGTCGTAAAACTCGCGCCGGAGATATTACAAAAGTTGACTTCTTTTCTGTAACAAAGTTAAATGAAATAAGTTTTTTAAGCGATCCTAAATATTCGTTTTACGAAGAGTTCCGGTCGTTTCAAAAGCCACCCTTTGCACCGCCCCATCTTATATTGCTCAATTTTTTTTTTTGAATGGCGATCTGAATATTCTCTCTCATCGAAGTTTGTCCCTCCGATCCCCCAAATTTTATCAATTTGACACCTATTTTCAAATTTTTGCAAATTTTCAACAGATGCAAAGTTGTTAATCACATTTTGTGTGAGTGTGAGAGCAACTATTACAATATTGATTGGACAAAATTAAATATTTTATTTTAGAACCTATGAGCTGATTCACATTAAAAACAAACATCAAAAATACACGATGTCTAATATTACTATATTACGTATTGTAACGGTTTCAATTTGTCATTGGCTACTTCGACTTATGTTTCTCACATGTAGGTTAATAATTCTCGGAGACTACCTATTAAATGTTTTATTCTCACAATTGCACACTATCTTAATCCTCAAAACTACTGGTATTGCTACTTCATTCTGTTCGAACACACTGTAACTGTTCCATTGCTTGGTGTGGTTTGCATGTCCTAAAATAAATGTAAATAAGTGTAAGTCCTTGCATTTTTGCTGCAATTTAAGATGTTACTGCGGAATGCGGTTGGATTGCACGAGACGATCGTCCTGTATTCCTTCTTATTTCCGAACTAACGGCAATTTCTATTCTTGTCCCTTCCATTCATTTATTTACACTTGTTGCTTTTTGGAGAGGTTCTTCTTCTTCTTTACTTCTAATGGCCACGACTGCATAAGGTCATTCGGCCAGCTTACACAATTTTTCACATTATTCAGATATCCTAAAGAATGCCTTCTTAAGAGAAGGGTCTGGACCAATTCATCATCCTCCAGGTTATTTAACGTATACAAAAATGGAAACAACTTCTAAATAAATTGTCATAAAATGACGACCGATTCTTCAAACGGCTCCAGCAATCATCTTTTACGGGATATCCGATCCCATCCGGCCTGGTTACCAGCGTGAATATAGGACATTCGGAAACCGTATTTACATACACCTCATGGAATTACACATCACAAATCCGTGTACATCCGCGTAAGACGAACACTATTTCCCAAACTTATAGGCACTACGTCTCTATCACGTCAGATA